CCCGCCTTCTCTCACCGGCACCCTCCTCGCCTCTCCCGGTGCCTCATTCTCCACGCTGCTATACCCACTGGCATGGATCCCCCCATGCCTCCTCCAGGCTGTCTTCACTATTTCCGGCTGCTGCACCTTCCCATCGCAGACATCACTACAGGCAGCTCTCTGCGTCTCCTGCTTCTTCCAGGGCATCAGACATCTGCTCCTGTTCGCCCTGCTCTCCGTACCATTACCGATATTATTCCCATTCCAACTATCACGATGACCGCTCACCGCAACATGACAAATATCATCGCGGCGACCGCCACTCTCAAGACTCCCTCAGCGGCTACTTTTATCGATCACGTTCTGCCTACAATTATCTATCATGAAGACGCTCTCCAACTCTGGCCCCCCTTACTCTTCCGCATCATTCAGCATCACCACCTCATCCTCCATCAGAGACTGATCACACCGCCTTTGACCTCCTGCCGGGAACTTCCATCCTAGACTCATCCCTGCCAGATGAGGCAGTCATGCCAGGCGACAGCTCTCCACCAGATGACCTCCGTCAGTTCCAAGAGTTGTTTAAGTGAGTAGCTATCACACAAGAGATTCCGCTGCAGGAACTCAAGGACAAGCGGCACAAGCTTTTCAGGAATCTCCAACCGCAGCATAGCTCATGCCTGACCATTCCTCTTGTCGAGGGCATCCTGGAACTGGCTGATGAAGTGTGGCATGCTCCAGCATCGGCTCTCCCGACCAACAAACAGGCCGACAAAGAAATATTTTGTACCACTGAAGGGCATGGAATTCCTCTTTGCCCATCCACAACCTAACTCCCTAGCAGTGGACGCAGCTCAACAGAGGGCTAGAGCCCCACACTTCAAACAACAAGGCTCCGATAAGGACGTAAAGAGACTTGACCTCCTGGGCAGGAAGGTCTACACTTCAGCAACGCTACTCCTCAGAATCGCCAATTACTCGGCGCATCTCTCCAATCACACCTCTGATATGTTTTCACGCCTCACCCCCTTCATGGATCATCTCCCTGATTCTAAGAAATGGATCCTGAGGTCAGTAATCCAAGAGGGTTACACATCAGCAAGAACGTCCCTCCAAATAGCCATGGACGTTGCTGACACTGCTGCTCGCTCCACTGCTACTGCCATCGTTATGCGCAGAGCTTCTGTCCTTTAAGCAGCGGGAGTTCCGAAGGAACTACAGGCCAAAGTCGAGGACTTACCCTTCGACAAGGATAAGCTCTTTGCAGAGACCATGGACTCAATCTTACACTCCTCCAAAGACTCCCGAACAACCTTGCGAACTCTGGGGATGTACACTCCCCCCCTTTATGAGACGCCGGTACTCACCATAACAGCGCAGATATGACTACTCCTACATCAGACATCAGTGGCAGCAACAACACCAGCAACAGAGGCCCTTTGACAACCAACGCTCTCGCCAGAGGCCTCGGCGATGCCGAAACCCAAACGGCAGGATGATCATGCTTCCCAACAACAAACAACAGGTTTGACACGTTGGTCGGGGGCAAGCAGACAGTCACAGGCAGCATCACGAATCGTACGACCCAGTTCTTTCACCACCGGCTGAGGCCCTTTCTACATCAATGGGCAAAAATCACTATGGACAGATGGGTCCTCGAGATTGTTCAATCTGGCTACCCTTTCCCTTTCATAGCCATCCTACCAACTACCCCTCCCACCCTGTCCCTCTTCAGGGACCCCTCTCACGAGACCTTTCTCTAACTAGAAGTCGACCGCCTTCTCTCTCTGGGTGCCATAGCGCCAGTCCCAAAGGATTTCAGGAACAGGGGCTTTTACTCACATTATTTCCTCACCCAGAAGCAGTCCGGACGTTGGTGCCCCATCCTAGATCTCCGCCGTTTGAACAAATATCTCAGGAAACAACAATTCAAAATGATGACTTTAGCTGCCATAATCCCTGCATTAGATCCACAGGACTGGTTTGCCGCCCTTGACCTCCAGGACGCCTATTTCCACGTCCCTATCCATCCAACTCACAGAAGGTTCTTGTGCTTCATCGTGGTAAAGGACCACTTCCAATACAAGGTCCTCCCCTTTGGGCTATCGTCAGCCCCCAGGGTGTTTTCAAAGGTTCTATCCATGGTCACAGCCTTCCTCCGATGCCAAGGGGTACTCATCTTCCCTTACCTGGACGATTGCCTACTCAAGGGCCCTTCTGCACACGAGGTCTCCCAGATGGTTCACATCACAAGGCAAGTCTTTCAATTGCTCAGACTCCTCCTCAACGAGTAAAAGTGCGTTTTGCGACCCACTCAGAACATCAAGTTCATTGGGGCCCTCCTGGACTCACTTGCCGGCAGAGCATTCCTACCCTTACAGAGGTTTCAAGCCATCCAAGACCTCATTCACACCATCACCATCAGCCCTACCATTCCACTCATCGCATGCCTCAGACTGATGGGCTATATGGCCACCACAACATATGTGGTGAAATATGCCAGACTACATCTGCGCGCCCTTCAGTACTGGCTGACTCTCGTATACAATCACACCAGATACGATCTCCACAGGCTGGTAACGCCGCCATCTGGCATTCTCCAATCTCTCCTTTGGTGGACCAGCCACACAAACCTGCTGTCAGGTATACGGGCAGGAGCCACTCCACCAAATCACAACGGATGCCTCCCTACTAAGCTGGGGGGCTCACATGGGCTCCCTCTCAGTCCAAGGCCAATGGTCCCCACAAGAAGCACAACTACACATAAACCTTCTAGAGCTACACTCCATTTTTAACACATACAAATCCTTCCTCACCTACATTTGAAACACCACGGTGAGGATACTCACGGACAACATCACAGCCATGTATTACGTGAATCGCCAAGGTGGCGCTCGCTCCCGTTCCCTATGCACGGAAGCCATCCACTTTTGGAACTGGTGCATTCGCCACGGAGTAACATTTACGGCATCCCACTTACCTGGCACCACAATCGTGATGGCAGATTTCCTAAGCAGACACTTCTATGTAAATCACGAATGGGAAATGCACGATGGCGTCCTACGCGAGATCTTCCAACGTTGGGGTACTCCCTGCGTGGACATCTTTGCAACTCCCACCAATACAACATGCCACAAGTACTGCACCAGGGTGGGCCTAGGCTGCGCATCCCTAGGGGACGCCTTCCTTACGACTTGGCGCGGACCCCTCCTCTATGCATTCCCCCCCATACCTCTGATCCCCAAAGTCCTTCAGAAACTGAAGGCGGACAGGGTAATGCTAATCCTCATAGCCCTGGACTGGCCTCACCACAGCACTGGTTTCCCTTCCTCCACCGACTCTCTGCACAGACACTGATCCACCTTCCACCTCTCCACAATCTCCTCACACAAGACCGAGGATGCCTGAAACACCCCCAGATACAAATGCTGAACCTAACAGCATGGTTCCTACCTGGCTGACTCCATTTGAATCCCTCTGCTCCGTTCCAGTCCAACACGGTAGATGACAAACCATGAGAAAAACTTACCTTCACAAGTGGTGCAGATTCTCCTCCTGGTGTACTTTGACCCACCACGATCCGACACGTCCATCAATCCCCTCTGTACTGGACTACGCATTGCACCTAAAGAACAAAGGCCTTGCGTTAGCCTCCATCAGGGTGCACCTTGCAGCAATATCAGCATTCACATCACCAATAGATGGTGTTTCTGCCTTCGCCCATCCTACTACTAAGAGATTTCTCAAGGGCTTTACCAACATGGACCCACGGCATGACCCAGTCCCACCGGTGTGGAGCCTGGACATTGTCCTCGACGCCCTAATGAGGCCACCGTTGGAGCCTCTGGCGACTATATCCTTGCATTTCCTCACTTTGAAAACTGTTTTCCTGCTTGCCATAACATCAGCACACAGAGTGAGTGAGCTTTCCGTCATGATAGCCACACTTGAGACTACACCCAAGATTCATACCCAAAATCATCTCCCATTTCCATGTCAACGAACCAGTGATCCTGCCAACTTTTTTCCCAAAGCCCCATGCCTCACCACGAGAAGCGGCCCTACACTCCTTGGACACCCACAGGGCCTTAGCATTCTACATAGATCACACAAAACCTTTCAGGCGTACGAACCACTTATTTGTCTCCTTGACACAGAGATCAAAGGGTCAACGCCTATCTTCCCAGAGGATTTCCAATCTTGTAACCTCATGCATAATGCAATCGTACGCAGCGAAAAGCTTACCCCTTCCATCCCAACCACGTGCCCACTCCACTAGAGCCATGGCCACATCTATATGTTCCATAGAGGGGTAGCCCTGAAGGACATTTGCGGGATGGCGACCTGGTCCTCACATGAGACCTTCACCAAACACTATTCTATTTCTCTAGGCACTCGTTCAGATGGGGCAGTGGCGACTGTGGTGCTCTCCACAGTGGATAAATAGGGACTCCTTGCCCTCCTTCCGTTCTGGCGACTACTGCTACACAGTCACCCATAGTGGAGCACCCGCAGGGACATCCCCAAAGAAGAAAGCGAAGTTATTCACCTCCGGTGCAGTAACTGTCATTCTTCGAGGTGGTATCCCCATGGGTGCTCCACTACCCGCCCTCCCCCCCGCTTTGGAGTCCTCTCTCTCTCTCTGTTCTTGTCTCCTTATGGTACTAAAGGGCATCAGCAGAGCTATGGAAATAAGGAACCCCAGGACAGGAATGTGGGGGTCGGGCCGTGGGGCAGGATACAGACCATAAGCAGAGCGTCCTGCAGAGCCCGCACAGCCCCTGCCTGCCTGCCTTACATCTGGCTGGAGCCAGGCCCCTCTTTCGTCCACGAGGGCGAGAGGGGCTGACCGTGCTCACCAGTGACCAGGCCCTACTCGCCCCAGCCCAGCTGAGGAGCGAGTAGGAGACGAGGGGCCGAAGAGCTGCCGGGAGTGCATGGGCAGGGGCCTGCAGGGCATGAGATGAGCCAGGGGAAGGGGCAGACGGTGCAGGGCGGCTCACTCTGGTTTCCATTCCCAGCAGGTGCCTCTGAGATCTGCCCTGTCCTGATCTGCCCGTCAAATGCCACATGTGTGAACAGCACCCACTGCGCCTGCCTGGATGGATTCCAGTCCAGTGGGAATCGCTTCTTCACCAACACATTGGAGACCTGCGATGGTAACGGGGCTCCCCGTCCGACACCAGATGGTCCAGACACTAGAGGGGGAAAGAGGGGAGTGTCAGTGCTCGGGGAACGAGGGAAGGGGCCGAGCAGTGGGTCACTAGTGTTTCACAAGGTCCAGCAGGCTCATGTGGGGTGGTTGGGGTTTCCCGCAGGAGGGAGGCAGAGCTCTGGGAGGCTTTCGTTGTAGCTACACACAGTGCAGGTTGACAGGCTGGCTGGCGATGTGCACGCCACGTGGCTGTCTTAGAGCAGGACCTGAGCAGTCGCTCAGGGTATGTCTACACTACCCCGCTAGTTCGAACTAGCGGGGTAATTTATGCATACCGCACTTGCTTATGAAGCCCGGGAAATTCAAATCCCGGGCTTCATTAGCAAGTGCGGTATGCATACATTACCCTCCTAGTTCGAACTAGGAGGGTAATGTATGCATACCGCACTTGCTTATGAAGCCCGGGAAATTCAAATCCCGGGCTTCATTAGCAAGTGCGGTATGCATACATTACCCTCCTAGTTCGAACTAGGAGGGTAATGTATGCATACCGCACTTGCTTATGAAGCCCGGGAAATTCAAATCCCGGGCTTCATTAGCAAGTGCGGTATGCATACATTACCCTCCTAGTTCGAACTAGGAGGGTAATGTATGCATACCGCACTTGCTTATGAAGCCCGGGAAATTCAAATCCCGGGCTTCATTAGCAAGTGCGGTATGCATACATTACCCTCCTAGTTCGAACTAGGAGGGTAATGTATGCATACCGCACTTGCTTATGAAGCCCGGGAAATTCAAATCCCGGGCTTCATTAGCAAGTGCGGTATGCATACATTACCCTCCTAGTTCGAACTAGGAGGGTAGTGTAGACATACCCTCACTCTGCCGGGGAGCCCCTGGGCAGTTGCGTGTTCGGGGGACGCTCTTGCTCCTGGGAAGCAGGAGGCTGTTGTGCCTCAGTGTGTTACCCAGGAGGGCACTGGCAGAGGTGAGGAATCTGGCTGTCAGGCTGAAAAGCTCCACGGGACATTCCCAGTCCTGAGCCCTGTGAGGACAACACAGCACAATGAGGGGGAATTGGAGAGCAGCTTTCAAATACCTGAAAGGGGGTTCCAAAGAGGCTGGGGAGAGGCTGTTCTCAGTGGTGGCAGGTGGCAGAATGAGTAGAAACCGTCTCAAGTTGCAGTGGGGGAGGTCTAGGTTGGATATTGGGACAAACTATTTCCCTAGGAGAGGGGAAGCACTGGGCTGGGTTCCCTAGGGAAGAGGTGGCATCTCCATCCCTAGAGATGTTTAAGTCCTAGCTTGACAAAGCTCTGGCTGGGATGATTGAGTTGGGGTTGGTCCTGCTTTGGGCAGGGGGCTGACTTAATGACTCCGGAGGTCCCTTCCAGCTGTATGATTCTATGACAAATGTTGCTGGGTCCTGGAGGTGTTACCTTCCACCAGCCACGGCAGCTCAACAGCCACTGGAGGCACTGCTGGGCAGCTCTTGGGAGGCTCAGCTATCTGGCGGCTGGGGGCTTTGGGATAGAGGTTGGAGTGAGGGTAGAAGAAGCGATCGGCTGTGACCCCGACTGCTCTCCAAGTGTGCGGGGGCCGGGATCTCCCTGCCGCAGCTCTTGGATTGGGAACAAATCGCTGGGTTTGCAGGGAGGCTCCAGGAGAGAGGAGGGACCCTCACAGGCCCCAGCATGCAGCATCCTGCTGCTAGTGCCCCTTAGGCCTGGGAAGGGGCCTTGTGTAGGGTCCCCAGGTACAGCCCAGTGGGCGATGCCCTCTATGGCCCTGGGCAGGTGGGAACAGGTGCAGCAAGGGAAGCTCCAGCCACACCCTGGTAGCATTGTCAAGTTTCTGAGAGCAGAAAACCAAACACAGTAGCCTGGCTTCTTCCCCAAGGCCCTGCCTGGTCCTGACCCTTCCTGCCCCAGTCCCTACATCCTCCCTCCTTCAGGGCCTCGCTCCCCCCACTCTTACTCACTTTCAATGGGCCGGGACAGCCAGTTAGGATACAGGAGGGGCTGGGGGCTCTAACTGGGGTGCAGGCTCAGGGTGGGGCCAGACGAGGGGTCAGGGTGCAGGAAGGGGGGCTGGGATGGAGCTGGAAGTTTAGATTTGGGAGGGGCTGAGTGTGGTTGGCCGTGCAGACTCTGGGGTGTGGTTGGGGTGAGGGGTTTGAGGTGCAGGAGGGGATATGGGGGGATTTGGGAAGGGGCTGTAGGTTGAAGTAATGGGCTGAGATGTGGGAGGGGGTGAGTGAGCTGTGCTCAGGTGTTGGCAGGGGAGTGGGTTGGGATGAGGAGTTTGGGGTGCTAAGAGGTCATCTTGGTCTGGGGGTGCAGGGTTGGGACAGGTGATTGGGCTCAGAATTGGGGTGCTGGCTTAACTCAAGGGGCTACTGGTCAGCGGGGTAGTGAGGCTAAGCCAGGCTGCCTGCCTGTCCCAGGTCCGTACTGTGCCCTGGTCATCTCCAGCAGGTTCTGTGCCCGGTCTGGGGCAGGCATGGTAGGAGGCTGCGCACCGGCCGGTAAGGTCCAAAAAGTGTGAGAAGCCCCATGGACCCCCAACCTAGGAGCTGGACGCGCTGGCCACTTCCCAGGTGCAGGGCGTGTGATGTAGCGGGTCTCTGGCGGCACCACTGGGAGGCTCAAATCAGGGTGAATTGCTCACAGACAGGGCTACTTACAGCCCATGCCTGGGGCCTCCAGGATAAAGCTCCAAGCCAGTCCCAGAGAGCAGGCCCGGCCTTTGGGCAAGGCGAGCGAGGTGGTTCCCATGGGTCCCGTGTATTCAGGACCCAGCGCTGCCCAGCACCTGGACCTGCCCACCTGGCCACTCATTCTCTGTCCTGACTGGAAGCCACGTGGCCCGGCCAGACACAGCGTCCTGCCTTGGGCCCCGCGAATTCTTTGGCTGGGCCTGACAAAGGGCCACTCCTGTGTGCCACGCTGGCCAAGCAGGGAGTCACACGAGCAACTACTTAGATGCTCCCATTCTCCTGGCCACAGCCAGCGCCACTCCTCACGCAGACGGGACGTTCTGAAAACAGAATCCTCCAATCCCCAAATGGGACAGAGAGAATCCATCAGATTACACCCACCAATTACCCAGGTCTTGGTGGAGGTTTGGAGCAGAGAGAGATTAATCGACTGTTTGTTGTCTCTGGAATACAATCTCTGTTAAGAGTTTTTTTTGGGTCCAGTTCATAGCAAAGACGCTTTAGAAGTGAGGAGCTGGAATGAAGACAGAGGAACCTCTGGGGTCCTTTCACACCCTTGCTCATGCGGCAGGAATTCTTTTGTTCTCCCCGTGTGAAAGTGAAAGTACCTCCACAAGCGGAGTTTGACACATAAGCAGGTTACCCCTTGTCACAGTCTCACAAGTTGCGCCCACACCTGGCCCGTTGGTTCTAGGGTAGAACTGCAACGGTGTGACAGCCCCTTCTCAGGGAGTCCACTCTTTGCTGGGGGTCCACCCCCCTCCAGCTCTGGGATGATGCCTTTCGAGGCCGTCAGCAAGCCTGTGTCTGCTATGGGCCCCCGTGGACCTCCAGGGCCTCATCTCTTAGGGTATGTCTACACTAGCTCGTTAATTCGAGCTAGGTTGGCAAATCAGGCAACCGGAGTTGCAAATGAAGCCCGGGCTTTAAATATCCCGGGCTTTATTTGCATGTTCCCGTCCGGCCCCCATTTTTAAATCCCCCTTGGTTTGAACGAACTGCTCGCGGCTACAAGCGGCAGGTTAAAGTTCATCTGAACTAAGTCCTTAGTTTGGATTAACTGTTACTCCTTGTGGAATGAGGTATAACAGTTAGTCCGAACAAAGGACTTAGTTCAGATGAACTTTAACCTGCCGCTTGTAGCCGCGAGCAGTTCGTTCAAACCAAGGGGGATTTAAAAATGGGGGCCGGACGGGAACATGCAAATAAAGCCTGGGATATTTAAATCCCGGGCTTTATTTGCAACTCCAGTTGCCTCGAATTAACGAACTAGTGTAGACATACCCCCAGAGAGAATAGTGCGACCCTGTTCTCTCCTCCAGATCGACTCAGCAGCACCAAACAAGGGGGTTTATTGAGTTTGAACACAGCAAAGAATCTCTCAGACCTGGAGGCCTGGCCCCCTCTGCCCAGCATGTCCGAGGGTATGTCTACACTACAGCGCTAATTCAAACTAATTTATTTCAAATTAGTTAATTCGAAATAAGCTAATTTGAAATAACGCATCTAGACCCAAAAACTAATTCGAATTAGCGTTTTGCTAATTCGAAATAGTGTGTCCACACTGATTGGATGCTGGGTCGCATTTAAGGGCAGCTGAAACCGGTTCTGGCAGGGCATCAGGTCAGTAATTGCTTTGTTGGCACCATGGAGCCAGAGCTTGCCCTGGGCATTCTGCTCCAATTTTTGGACTTGCTGCTGAAAGCCTGCCAGCAATGGCTGGAGGCTGCCTGGCATCATCTGGTGCACGTCAGCCCCCTGCCTCTCCCCCTGGCCTCCCTGGGGGCTGTGGAGGAGCCACAGCAGCACCTGGACGCCAGCGTGCCCCGCTGCATCTGGCATCTGGACACCAGCAGCGACTGGTGAGACCGCATCGTCCTGGACCGCTGGGGAGACAGACAATGGACCAAGAACTTCAGGATGAAAAGGGACACCTTCCTGGAGCTCTGCGAGTGGCTCGCCCCTGCTCTGCAGCGACGGGACACTTGCATGAGGCCCGCCATCCCCCTCCAGAAGCGTGTGGCCATCGCCCTCTGGAAGCTCTC